TATGAGAGAAAGAATATTTTATAACCACTGCAATCCAAGAGGTAGATATGGAGGTGCCAAGAGCCCAAAGAACTCTTTCCAGAAAGGTAGATGACAGCAAGGAATCCACATTAAAGCTTTTTTTAGGCTTGCAGTTTGGTGGTGGTTTATCTTAATCAATCTCTTCATCAAACTGTGCAACTCCTTAGAAGCTTACTTTGTGTGTGTGTGTTGTGTGTGGGGTGTGTTTGTATGGGGTGTTTGTGTGTGTAGGGGCAGGTGGTTATGGGTACTAGGTATTGAATTCAAAGCCTTGCAAATACAATTCAACTGTTCTGACACTGAACTAGTTCCCCATCCCCAGGCTTATGTTTTTAATTTTTAACTGTAGGTCATGATAGTATACCTGTATATAGCAGTGTGATGTGTCCGTGGTCATTAGAACAATCATGTCACATACAGTTACCCAGCCCTCAGTAAACACTTGGTGTTTCCTGTTAATCTGTGGCTTTGCTGTTCCTGTGTAATTGGTAGGGAGAGATGACAGAGGGCTGCAGGGAATGTGATCAGTGAAACCATGTGGGTTCTCCCTACTTGCTTTGCATGTAGCCCAGACTCTGGAGGGACAGGGCACAGTCTCTAACTTTTTTAGCAGCAGGCATGTTGCTGGGATCAGGACCTTTTCTCTCTGGGTGCTATGGCTTCATTTTCAGTATCTGGAGAGGCGTGGGGAAGGATCCTTCCTTTCACTTCTTGCTTTCACAATGGCTCTAAGCCTAGCGTAAAGCCCACTTCAAGGCAGAGGAAGTAAGACCAGGCTTGGAAGGTACAGCCAAGCCCACTCTTACCCTGCCTCTTTGTGCTTTCACTGGGGCTGTTTCTGAGAAGCTAAGAAGGGTCCTGACAGGCTTGTGTCAGGTCATGCATTTCTCAGATTCAAAAACAAGTTTTAAGATATAAAGTAAACAACCATAAACCATAGGAGTGGTTTTGAAATTTACAGAGGTTCAGTTGTCCAACTTCAGATGTATATCTTTTCTTGTTTAAAGTCACCCTAATTTAACTGAGACTCAAATTCATGCCAGAGGGACTCCATATTGATACTATTTCATTTATTATGTTTTTGGATCCATCTTGCATGGACTGATACCACCCCCTGTCCCTCACATATGCTTTGATTTGTTTCTCTTTTCTCCTCTGTCCATCCATCCATCTGTCTGTTTTTCTACTTCTCCTTCCTTCCCCTTCCCTCTCTTCCCTCTATTCTCTCCTTGTCCCTCCTCATGTCTGAGAGTGTGTAGGTGTGTTAGGTAAGAGGAGAACTTCAGGTGTCAGTTTCCCTCATTGAGGGAGTTTCATTGTTTCCCACTGTGAGGGATAGCTGACTTAGACCTCTTGGGGACAATGCTGTCTCTATCATCCATCTCACTGTACTAGCAGTGGGATCACAGACGTGCAGTAAGGTGTCCTGGCTTATGTGTGTTCTGGAAATTTGAACTTGGGTTCTTACATGTGCATGGCAATCACTTTATCTGAGCCATCTCCTCAGCCCCTGTTGTTAATTTTTGTCATTCTTCTCCCTCCTGTTATCTTTCAGAACTGCACGGCTTTCTAAGTCCTGATGGGGATGTATCTCCCAGCCGTCACTTGTCCTTTGACAGCTCCTTCAGCTTCTCAGTACAGCATTTTTAATAGGCTACTCTCCTCCTTGCATTTAGATGAATGTAACTCCCCCAGACTATACTTTTTGAGTGAAGGAGGAGAATCTAATTCATCTAGAGAACAAGTGGTAGATCCGTAAGTTACTAGGTATTTTCACTGAGTTCGTATCATAAACTAGAGCAGGAGTTCTGTTCTCCAGCATTGGAAAGTTGACTTTGGCAAGTGTGCATGTAGCCAGTTACCTGACAAGTGTGTGCAGAAGGTGATGTGCTGCTGCTGGGCAGGGTTTGCAACCGAGCACAGGATTACACGCATCGCTTATATTCTGAAGAGCTAGCTGGAGGTAATCCCCAGGGCAGAAAGGATCCATTATGGATAAGAAATTATTTGTAACTGAGGGGTCGCTTGTGTGAATGGTTAAAATCTTGTGATAAAAATCTTGAGCAGAAGATGAATTTTCTTGATGATATAAATACTATCACATCATCTTAGAAGTTTTATCACAAAAAGTATTAGAAATAGCTTTAGTATCTGCTATTAAATAAAGTATCATCACATATAAAAGTATTTTCACTGAATTCTGATGAACCTTTAAAGATCAGATTATTCGAGGTCATTATTAAGTTAATTGAGACTACACTGGGATTTAAACCCTCTGGGTGAATGCCTGATAACGAAAGAACGGAGAGCTGCCAAGAGCACACCAGTGCAGAATGGCCTTTGAGCTTATGCACAGTATTATAAAAAAAGTTTAATTTTCCATTAGTATAACAAAACACCATATTTATGACCTAGGGTTTTTTTCTAGGATTGAGAAGATATTTTAATATCTGGGAATCTTTCAACAGAATTCATTACATACCAAGTTATGGGAGGCAAAATGATTATGCTGGTAGATGCTGATGGGGGGGAGAGGTGTGCCGGTGGATGCTGATGGGGAGGGAGAGGTGTGCTG